TGGTGGAGCAGCCCACCATCATCTCCTACTGGTATGTCTCCATTCCTTTCTTCCCCCCTTGCTCCTCTGGTGTCTTTCATCTGCCGAATGGGGCCCCCATGTTCAGACACCTCACCACACCCTTACCATTACAAAAAATCATATCGCTCTTCACGCTACCGTATCCCCTCTCCTCCCTGGGCTCTGGCTGGCTGGTACGGTACACTCGTGCAGGGACTATGGGCCAGAGGAGAGGGCAAGGCTGGGCATCAAGGACAACCTGGTTAGGTTCAGTGCAGGGATTGAGGACAGCTGTGACATCATCGCTGATGTCATGCAAGCTCTTGATAAGATCTAAGATGTGTGGAGGGTCTAAACATACATCAGAGCGCTAAGCACATGCTTGCAATAGGGGGGATGAGTGGCTTTACGAGCTAAGGCCACTGTGCCAGGCAAAGAGCGGCAAGAGGATGCAGCATTTTGGTTGACGCTTGCTTCTCCTTGATGCCTCCTAGATAGTAAGGCTTGAGACTTCAGTGAAGGCTACTTGTGGGCTACTTGTAGAATATGTTCATTTGAAATTAACGATTGTAATCCGCTGGTACACACTCAAACGACCACAATCAAACACCGTTGAGCAAGTTTTTCGTCACACCTGGCAAATATGTCGTCAGCATAGGTCTTCGTACCGCCACGTCACGCAGATGCTCGTCCATTTCGTGCACCAGATACACTCACCCGATCCGAATGTCATCTTTCAACACTACTGTTCACGCGCTTGCGTGGCACTCCATTGGAAATCCGCATCTTCGCGACTCGGCCGTTCATTATGAGTCTCTTATTTCTCGCATCACTCACTGCTCCCTCTATCGTGAGTGACCTGGTCTGGTCCGCTCGTGTCTCACCTGACCCTTCACCACTTCACCAGTTTGTATCCTTCACCTGGTCGCATTATTCCGCATTTCCTCGTAGAAGTCGGAGGGTCCAGCACCGCTACCGACCGACATTCCTTCGCCCACTGATCGCTTGCCTAGGACAGTCACTCCTAATCCGTTTGGAGTGTTTGCCTCCACCGTCAAGCAGCCATGGCTACGTTAGCTTGCCCTAAGGCGACTGTTGCCTTCGCTGCTCGCACCAATGCCGCTTCTCGACCAGCGGCATCTGCGGCGGTCTCCGCGGCTCCCGTGAGCAGCAGAAGCGCTCGCCTTGCCGGATCCCTCTCCGCTTCCGCAGCCGCCGCTGCCGCTGCGTGCTCCAGCAAAGAACTCTTCTCCACTCCTGTAGCGCACTCACGCGAACATCACGGCGCAATTCGCGCCATATCTCGCGGGGCTGTTCGGGTGGACGCTAGCGTGGCGCGGCGCAAAGTGCTGATCGTTAACACTAACGGCGGAGGCCACGCGGTGATTGGCTTCGCGCTGGCCCGTCAGTTAGCGACGGCCGGCCACTCGGTGACGATCATGACCGTTGGCGATCGCAACTCCGATAAGATGAAGAAGCTGCCCTTCTCGCGCTTCTCGGTAAGTTGTCTGCTGGAATACACTCTCGTAATTCTCCCGAGTAGGCATAGCTCGCAAGCTTTCCGCCATTCCGCTAAGGAGATGCGCACCATTTTCCACGCGTGTGACTCGCTTACCCCCGCTACATGTCTCTCACTTTCCCCTTTACCCCTCCTCTTCCACGTACTTCCCCCCCTTCCCAATTGTCCGTTTTTCCCGTTACCCTACCCTTCCTCTTCTACCCTGTCCACCTGTCCTCCCTCCCACCCCTTCCTTTCCCCCGCTTCCTCCCCGTGCTTTCCCCCGCTTCCTCCCCGTGCTGTCCCCCGCTTCCTCCCCGTGCTTTCCTTCACAGGAGCTCCGCGCGGAGGGCGTGCGCACGGAGTGGGGCGACCCGGCGCGGCTGTCCGCCGTGTTCGGCGCGACCGGGGGCTTCGACGTGGTGCTGGATAACAACGGCAAGGACCTCGATACCGTCAAGTGAGTGACTATAAAGGGGATGAATGTAGCGCTTTACTCGACCAGACCTTTATACTGTGAAGCGTGCGTGGCCTACCGAGGCTGGCCGTATCGAGGTTGCTCGAGAAATGGGATGTCAAACAGTAACGACGGATGTTGTGGGTGTCAGAGTACTTTCAGAACCTTCCAGAACCTTCCAAAGCGAAACCGCGTGGAAACGGACGTTTCCTAAGCAGTCAATGAGGGGATTCTGCGGAAATTGGAGGCACCATTCCCTGCAAGCGCCATGTCAATGTGACCATTCTCGCTTCCCCATGCCCCTTTCCCATTTGAGCCGCTCAGCGTGTTTCAGGACGCCTCAAAACTAGGTCACATCTGTCACCAGATAGGGATCACCGCACCGCGTGTGTTCCTCTCCCTTTCTCCTTCTTCCCGCTCCCCCCCACCCACCCACCCCGCTTCCCCCCGCAGGCCCGTGGCGGACTGGGCGAGCGCGGCGGGCGTGCGGCAGTTCCTGTTCATCAGCAGCGCGGGCATCTACACGCCCTCGTCCGAGCCCCCGCACGTCGAAGGGGTGAGCGCACTGCGTCACGCGATGGTGGCGTGATAAATCAAGTAGAAAAACATTACACATGCAGGCAATTGAGCGCGCAATTCAAGAACTATGTTACGCCATGCAATCATGCACATCCCACCCCACATCTGCCGTACCCCACCTCACCCCACTCCGCCGCATCCCACCCCACCTGGCCCCACTCCTCAGGACGCGGTGAAGGAGAGCTCGGGGCACGCGCAGGTGGAGAAGTACCTGGCGGGCAAGGCGTGGGGCGACGGGTGGGCGGCGTTCCGCCCGCAGTACATCACGGGGTCGGGCAACAACAAGGACTGCGAAGAGTGGTTCTTCGACCGTGAGTGCCGCATTGGTTGCTGGGGTGATAAATGGGGTAAACTCTCATTGTGGGAAATGTGGGGAATCCTTAATCAGTTAGGAAGGCGCCCACAGTACATCACGGGGTCGGGCAACAACAAGGACTGCGAGGAGTGGTTCTTCGACCGTGAGTGCCGCTTGTCGTGTAGTAGAGTCGACTTGGTAGAGCGCGAGAGGAATCAGGGATACTGGCTCCAATCAGGTCGACACATGTAGCGCATCACAAGGGGTAGGAGTAGCAGGGGCTGCGCGAGTTGTTGGTCCACACCACAAGGACCATGATGCCGCAGGCACCGTGATTTGCTGTGAACAGCGCTTCTCTTGTTTTGTACACTGGTAGAGTGACCTGCACCCCACATGCCCTGTGCACTATCTGCAGCGTACAGGGCACCATCACCGAGACATTCATCTTGCTATTCTCCATGCCCTTGCCACGTGCATGTCCGTGCAAGTGTGAGGCCTACCTTAAATGTCTGGAATCATTCCTCCTCCCCATGGCCCCCTGCCCTGCATGTGCTTGAGCAGGCATCGTGAGGGGGCGGCCGGTGCCGATCCCATCGCCGGGCATTCAGCTGACGGTGGTGGCGCATGTGGACGACATAGCGCGCATGATTGCCCTCGCCATTGACTACCCGCAGGTCCGCTCGCCACCCCAGGTCCGCCTTGGTCCACAGGTTGTTTGCAGGTGTTTGCACTCACACACTGCAGGCTTTTCCAGCCCCTTCCCCTGTGCTCGCTACCCTTGCTTCGTTCCCCTGAATGATCGTCTAACCTCTGCCCATGCCTCCAACCAAACCAAACCCGCCATCTTCCCCCCTCTCCACAACCCCTGCAGGACGCCAAGGGTCAGATCTTCAATGCGGTGGGCGGCAGAGCGGTGACGTTTGATGGGCTCGCTCGCATGTGCGCCAACGCTGCTGGCCGCGCCTCGTCACTCAAGATTGTGCATTATGATCCCAAGGCTGCTGGGGTAGACGCCAAGAAGGCATTCCCCTTCCGCAACATGGTGAGATACGATTTTCAGCCGCAGTGAGAATAGGTGATTTATTGCATGTGCGCCAATGCTGCTGGCCGCGCCTCGTCGCTCAAGATCGTGCACTACGATCCCAAGGGCGCTGGGGTCGATGCCAAGAAGGCGTTTCCCTTCAGGAACATGGTGAGAATACTCAGGGGACTTCACCATCACAAGCTTGTTTGTTGCATGGCGAGCTGAATCCAATCGATGCGGGACACCTGGTGAGCTGTTAGCTGGTTTTAATATTGAAACCTGGATGAATGCTCTTTCTAGCCCTTGTTTCACCTTACCGGTATCCTTCCTGGTGCATTCTGCCCTCCTGCACTCGCAGCACTTCTATTCGGAGCCCCGCAATGCGCGGGAGAGGCTTGGCTTTAAGAGCTTCACGGATCTGCAGACTGTTCTGAACCAGCGGTACATTGACTACGTGGCGGCTGGGAGGGACAAGAAGGATGCCAAGTTTGAAGTGGATGACAAGATCCTAGCTTCAGCTAAATAGACCGCTACAAGTGCTGATTGAAATTTGTTGTAATTCCGTGGAAATATGAATTTTAGGAATGGTTTGCAAGTACGTAACGCGGTACCAGTAAAGATGATTGAGCAGCTGCGTAAGAAGAATGAAGCCATATGAATGTTCTAAAGCCCTGTACTCCAGGTAGCTTGAGGACATGTTGAGGCCATAGGATTCACATGCCCAGGCTGAGCAACCCATTTTGATTGACAAAGGAGCTTCAGTGCATGGGGTGTTGCAGCCGAGCTCAAAGCCCAGGGATCGCAGAGGCCTCCTTCACGTTGTGTTTTGGGGCTTCCAAAAAAAGCCGACCAATTGAATCCAACAATACAGAGAATTCACGCGTTCAGCAGGATTCGAACCTGCGAGGGCGAAGCCCAACAGATTTCAAGTCTGTCCCGTTAACCACTCCGGCATGAACGCTTGCTATCGTGAAAGAATATAATATATAAAAATGTCAACCATTTTTGGCAAGTTTCTGCTCAGTTCGCACCAGCAGCTTACCTCTCCGCCATCCATCGTCTCCCCCGCCACTCCCTTCGCCTATCACCGCTATTCCGACCCTCATCGCTCCGCCCATCACGCTGCGATCATCGCGGGCACGCCAGCATGAGCGGCATCGGCAGGGCGCTCTACAATGTGGGCTTCTGGGTGCGCGAGACGGGGCAAGCACTCGATCGACTGGGGTGCCGTCTGCAGGGCAAATATGCCTTCACTGAAGAACGTGAGTCGCGCCGCCGATCCGTCTAACGTGCTTTAGCTAACTTTTCAGCGCGCTTCGGTGGTTGCGATCTCGGCGTAAGGGCGTTGCGGGGCGGGCTTGAAGGGTCGAGCGTGCGGGTTAGGGTTGCGAGACGATCAACGGTGTAGATCGAGCAGGGATTAGGACCACCAGTCGATCGTGGCCTACCACACTAGGACCGTTGATTGTTGTGTCGATCCAACGGCTACCATTTCACCGTATGGGCGCTAGTGCGCGCTAGAGCCAGCACATGCTGCAATCATTGAGTGCTGGAAGGGGCGCCTCAGCGTCGGCTGGTCGAGGGAAGCGGCGATCGCGCTGATTTTCCCGATCCGCCCCATCCTGCCATGGCCATTGAGTCTTGTCCATAGCCATGTTGAATCCACTCCCGCACAAGCAACCCACCCTTTCTCATTCGCCCTTTCCCCTCTTCCCCTCCCGGTTGCTTCCCTGTTTTTCCCGGGCCCGCCCCTTCAAATCCACCCCCTTGTTTCCGCGCGTTGCCTCTCTTTTGTCCGCACGTCCCGTCGCTCTCGCGCACCGCAGTGTCGCGGCATCGCACCATCATGAATCTTTTCGACAAGCTGCCCGAGGTGCCCGCAAATGCCTTCGTGGCGCCGAGCGCGGCTGTGATTGGCGACGTGCAGATCGGGCAGCGATCATCTGTGTGGTACAACGCCATTCTTAGAGGTATACCATTCCCCTGCCATGCCCGCCCCTTCCATACCCTCCCCTACCTCCCCATATCAGATGTGGTCTTCACCATATCCCCCGCTTACCATACCCTCCACCTCTGCCGTACCTCCACCTTTCAACACCTTCCCCTTACTATACCATACCTCTTCCTTATTATACCGCTTCCCGACCATGCCTCTTCTCTTCCATACCTCTTCTTTACCATACCTCTTCTTTACCATACCTCTTCTCTACCATACCTCTTCTTTACCATACCTCTTCGTTACCATACCTCTTCTTTACCATACCTCTTCTCTACCATACCTCTTCTTTACCATACCTCTTCTTTACCATACCTCTTCTTTACCATAACTCCACCATACCATGCCTCCATCAATGCCCTTCTGCCCCCTAACCACTCCGTCACCCCCAATCGCCCCGCTCTGCCCCCCCCACCGCTCCTCCCAAATTGTCCACCTTACACTGGCTGACGCATGCGTTGTTCAATCCTCTCCCCCCACCCTCCCCCCCTCTCCGTTTTTGCCCCGTTTCCCCTGGTGCCACCTGGCTCATTCCCTTCACATTTTCCACTCGCAGGCAGCGTAAATGGCCTCATGCATTCTCTTCCCCCTATTTTCCCCACCGTCCCACCCCTCTTCCTCTTCCCCTTCCCCACCCCCCTCCCCCTCCTCCTGAGCAGGCGACGTGAACAGCATCCGCGTGGGCGCGGACACCAACATCCAGGACGGCTGCATCGTGCACGTGGCAAAGACCAACCTCGCCGGCAAGATCCTCCCCACCATCATTGGCTCGCGCGTCACTGTTGGTGAGTCATGCAAGTCACTGGGACTTGCTACTCCGTGAGCCCTGCTGTTGTCCTTGAGCCTACTGCTGAGGCCTGCTGCTGAGGCTGCCTGCTGCTTGCGGGCTGCATCGTGCACGTGGCAAAGACCAACCTCGCCGGCAAGATCCTCCCCACCATCATCGGCTCGCGCGTCACCGTCGGTGAGCTTTCACTCTTCAATGAGCCTCCGTGCTGCTGAGGTGACTTGTGAGCCGACTCAAAAGTCACCCCGTGCTGCTGAAGCCCGCTGCTGCTCGCTGGGCGCTCGTGTTTGTCGGGGTTTCTGTTAATTCCGCACTCTGAGTGCCTCTGCCATGCAGTCCGTTCAGCATCACTCACCGTGATGATGTGCACACGTGTGTGTGTGTTTGGGTGGCAAGGGTCAGCTTCAACACCACCTCTCAACTCAACTGCCCCCCCCCCCCATTCCATAGTGCAGTGCCGCACACATGGCAATAGCCAGCTGTAGAGTCACCTTTGAATCCATCACGTATGCTGCCTTCCCACCCCGCTTCACCCTTTTTGCCCCCGCTTTCCCCCATCTCACCCCCCAGGGCACAATGCGGTGCTGCATGCGTGCACGGTGGAGGACGAGGCATTTGTGGGCATCGGAGCAACGCTGCTGGACGGGGTGGTGGTGGAGTCGGGTGCTATGGTGGCTGCTGGCGCTCTTGTCGTCCAGAACACGCGCATTCCTGCAGGCCAGGTGGGTTTCCTCTTGCCATACACGCTCAGTTGGGTTAAGAGTGGTGTGACTAGGTGGGTGGTGGTGGAGTAGGTGCCATGGTGGCTGCTGGCGCCCTTGTCGTGCAAAACACCGGCATTCCTGCAGGCCAGGTGGGTTTCTCCTTGCTCTAGTGGTGAATCCATGCCCCTGCAGCCCACGTGGGTGGTGAGGCCACATGGAGGAGGTCCCTTTATCCTGCGTGTCCCACCCCTGCGTAGTCACCCTCTCTTGCAACAATCCCCTTTGACCCCATTTGACCCACCCTCACCCCCTCCACCCCACCCAACCTAGACCTGGGCCACACCCCCAGCTACTCGTTCGCATGCTGACATCAGCGCAGCAGGCGCTCGCGCGTGTTTCGACGGGACTTAAAGCCCCACTTTCCACCCCTCTCTCCCACCCAGATCTGGGCGGGGTCGCCAGCAAAGTTCTTCCGCACACTGACAGCAGCAGAGCGGGCGTTCATTGCCAAGTCAGCAGAGAGCTATGCCAGCCTGGCAGAGGTACATGCCAAGGAAAACGCCAAGAGCTTTGAGGAGGTGGAGGCGGATAAGAAGCAGAGGGAGGGGTGGGCCAACTACAGTGAAGACTTTGTTTCTAGTGTGGGCGCTGTTGTGGATAAGCCGCCTGTTCCTAGTCCAGTCAAGCTGGCTTAGGCGGGGAATGTGTGCGGTGCGGCGTAAGCTTGAAGCTCGTCAATTGACGTGAACAATGGAGGTTGCTGCGTAGGTGGTGAAGTTTTAGACTGAATTCCATATACGGTACGTAGGATGGTTAGGTGTATATTGCAACTGGCTTCCCTCCATTGCCTTTCCATTCTCCCTCTATGGTCTGCAAGGTACCACAGTGTAACATTCTTTGCTGATTGAACAAGAAATATGTTGTACAAGTAGGGGTAAAGCTTAACAATATGAATATGCCCAGTGCTCTGCGTATGTTTAGCATACTGTAGGTTTATCGAGTTGCGGTATTCGAAGAATCTTCACGAATATGAAAGCGACGATCTTCCACGCCTGTCAGTTTCCCACAGCGGGCGGGAGTCACTAGGCTCTCAAATCATGGCCGACAACACCGAAGCATGCCAGCCGATTTCGCGCAAGCGCAGTGCGCAATCTTTGGAACGCAATCCGCCATGTGAGTCCTCCAATGATGCTAGTGATCGAGACTTAGCCGGAACCAGAAGCCAGTGCGGACCGTCACCCTTGGAGGCTAAGGTTGGTGCATCGGAAGGTATCGTGGCAGGGCTTGTGTCGCGGATAGAAAGAGGGGAATTGGTTCCGCCGTTAAAAAGAGCGAAAAAATCAGTTGATGAGGGAAGCGAGCAGGCTGACTTCGAAGCTAACGATTCGCGAGGAGGTAGAGTCAGGTTTGTACTGGGAGTGAGGACTGGCAATGAGGCGGAAGAATCCGCCTTGCTGAAACCACGAGAAATCCCCGGAGAGAAGGATGCGGAAGCGAAAACTGATAGGGAGGAGTCTGGTGCCGTGGAAAATAAGGGTGCAGTGGTTTTGAGTAACATTGACAAATCCGCAATCGATGCTGGGATGGGGAAGTTGGAGGAAGGCAGGCAGCAATGCTTATTGGAGGAGAAGGGTAAGATGACATGGGAGCAGCAATGGATGGTTACAGCAGTGGATGCAGTAATGGGGAGGTTGGTGCATGCGGAGGAGGAGGAAATGGCTCGACTGCTTGTGGCGCAGCAGAGACAACTGAAGGTGCGTGAAGCAGAGCTCCGTCGATTGCTTATGTTGTTCATCTGGAGAGTTTTTTTCCATTTACCTTCTTCCATTAGACTCCACCAAATCACATACACTTTCCCATAAGCTTTGCTCCTCAATCTTCTTTTCTTCCTTCAGGCGAATTCAGCAGTGGCAAGGGCAGGAGAAGCAGCTTTGGATGCAAGGCAAGCACATGGCAACTTGGAAGAAGCACGGAGGCAGGCCGTGGTGGATCTTGAAGCAAGCCAAACTGCGCTTGAAGAAGCAAGAATGCGTCTGGGGGATCTCAAGACAGCACGGCAGCAGCATGAGGAGTTTCTGGAGAAACGAATTGCTCAGCAGAAGCTTGTAGTTGAGCGTGCACTGAAGCAATTGCAGGTCCGGGGCCACTATGCAAAGTTGCGTGCAATCTTGTGCAATCGCTATGCTAAGTCCCACCCTTTCCTGCCCTTCTCTTCTACTCTGCTGGTGCTTGCAGGATGAAGCAAGAAGGATTGCCAAGGAAGAATCAGAAGTTGATGCCATTGGGGAAGGGGTGACCAAGTTAAATAGCATCTGGATTCAGCTTGCAGCTGAACAGCAAAAACTGGATGAGCTTTTCTTCACTTGCTGAAATATCTCATTGCAGTATTGACACTGAAATGTTGGTCCCAAGATAACGATTTACATGATAGCTTCAGGATACAGAATTCATTAAAAAAATGTCTAGAAAATAACATATGTAGCTCCTACAGCAACTCCCTATGGTTAAAAACTAGGGAAGACATCGAAACACTCATGTTTCGCTTTGCTTGCTACTGCGCTTCTTTGCTTCACTGTACAGGACAACCCCTATGACTGTGATGCTGTAGCCGATCATTCCCACCACCGTCACAGGATTCCTGAAGAGGAGGATGGATACGACCACAGCAACAGCACCTTTCGCATTGCCAAGAACCTGCAAGAATGACAAGTGTTAGGCAAGAACTGCGTAAATCTGAACAGAAGATGCCGCCATAAGCAGACAGCATGACAGTGAAGTTACCTGCAGTGTCAAAGGGCTCGTGTACTTGGTGACCAAGAAATTTGTGAGATTCACAAAGTATGCTGTAGCTGAGTTGACAGCCAGCAAAGGAAGGATTCCCCAGTCCTCCTTAGCTTGCTTGATTGTAATGCCAAGCACATTGTCCTCCATGATTAAAGTGGCTGGCACCAGCAGCACCACAGCTATCGGAGCCATGTAGAGTAGAAGGTTCATGGAATTCAGCTTTTCCCTGCAGTCATGTTCGAACATAATCAGAATGTGTATAGTAAAATGCAGGGAAGAAACAAAAAGAACCCTTACCCGTCAGACTGCAGGAGCAAGCCCTGCACCACTGTCTTCAAGGCTCTAGCTGCGGTAGCTGCGATGCAGATAATGAACCCATATAGATGAAAGCTCGGCTCACTCTGGAAGCACAAGAAGGAGAAGAGACGTAAGTCTCGTGATAATTTTTAAGTGCAAGGAAGCTAGCTCGATAGGAGGATTCACTCACCCCACTGGCAATGACAACTCCCATGACCACTGGTATCAAGGCAGCATACGTCACCCAAGCTTCCCGTTTAAAAGTCATAATGTAAGCAAAGAATGCGGTGAAAAACGGAGTTGTAGCCCCAATCGCTTGATTGAAGGACACTGGGAGGTATTTCAGCGATATGTTCCCACTGACCACCGAGAAGCAGAATATGGCACTCAGAGCTGCAATCTTGAGGAATTGCGACCTTGACCTAATTGCCTGCGATGAAGCAAGTACGGGAATTGTCAAGACCCTGGGGATGAGTGGATAGTCCAGCATGGTGAGCCCTAACATACGTAAGTAAGAAGTACAACAATGAGCTGCCCTGAAAAAATCATCAAGATCAACACCCTCACTACATTTGCTGGCCCAGGAGCTCACCCACCTGCAACGGTACAAGCTTCATCCATGCAATCGCTATGTAGCTGAAAAGTGAGCATGCGGCCATGTGACACATTGTCAAGAAGATTGGGTACTTGTAGCCATAATTGCTGAGTAGAAACTTGTTCAGCAGCAGAACGCCGATATTGCATATGTACCACGATGCTATCAACCCCAAAGTAAACCAGCTAGTCGACCCCTTGCCCTGTTGAGTCTTATCCTGCATTAAAACGAAAACAAAGCTCAGTGATAGTTCTGCTACCAGATCCTTCACGTAAGGGAAACGAAGCGTACCTCGACAGCCATTTTTCTCGCAAACGAGCCGATCACATTCAAAATCGTTAACCTAGCGACCTAAACTACTCGTAGAATTTTACATCAACAAGAAAACGGGGAGACAAGAAGGAACGTCATGGTCTCTTGCAACTAGCAGAGACCCTTCCCAGCGAAGGATCTCGGAGAATGCGCGACTAAGTGACTGTTCCGCCTCCTGGAACGCCTGCTGCATTCGAGTTACTCGAGGTGGATCAACGTAGAGAGCGAGATTTGGAGCTCGAAGCTTGGAACTAGCTGACACCTGTACTGTAACTTTCCCGCTCTCATGGTCCGTTGTGAACTTCAGAATCGATTCTAGCAGGTGACGCCCCACCACGTTCGACAAGCAGTATTTACTAACCTATATAGATGCATTTCTTACATCATTCTTGTTTTCCTAATTGCTGTTTTAACTTCCGTCGATTGTTTCTCCATTAATGAGAATCTATTAATCTCCATATTGTTATTTTCTAGTAGAAGTGCATGTGCACCGCATGCCTACTCCAACATAAAACCTTTCCCAAATCTTTGCATGTACAGGGCGGAGGTTGCTTTTGATCTCAATAACACCGGTCCCAATGAGTTTGATAGTAAGCGCATTGGGGGTGCTGATGGAGAAGTGTCTTGTGAACAGACGCATGACAGTGAGGGAGGCATGCGACGCTAAAGTATTGGGTGGCAAACATAGACGGGGATGGTTAACGAATTCGACATTGATTCAGCAAACACGGTAGCTCGAGCCCAGAGGGCGCAGGTGAGTGACTAAGTCAGCAGTACAGCCAACTGCAACAAGGTATGGGAAGAATTGGCCAAGGGAGGTAGGATAAAAATAGAACGAGATACAACATCGTCAAAGTTAATCATTCACTAACTTGAAATGGCTGAATTAGGCTTCTACCGCCTCTGGGAGGAGGCTGCTGAGAGCGAGACGAGCCGAAGCCTCACGAGACAGCCATACCGAGTATTCCTTGAAGGACACGGTAAACTGCTCTCACTGGGCATCAGTGGGCGCAAAAGGGAGTGGGGTGGGATGCCAAGGGGTAGGCAAGTGACCCACCGTGTGAGTAAACAACGCGTCACCATCCTGGCGCTGGCTCTGGAAGTACAACTCTGCGTGCAACGGCCAGGTGCTTAAGTGTATCACTCGGCCCTTGCTACAACGAAATCCAACTGGACGTAGGAGTGGCTGGCTAGGAACGACTAGCTAGGAATGTGAAGCTATGAGCTGCATGCTATGAACGGCAGGCTAATGTCAAGATATTAGGAGCAGTGAATACTAGGGTTTGGGGTAGGAAGAGGCTTGGGAGAGGAACATGTCGAGAGAGTTTAGCCAAACAGGATGAATTCACTATTTAGTGAGGTACAAATAGCAAAGAGAGCATGCAAAGAAGGTGCACCACCAACAGTTTGTAATAACTACACTAAACTACAGCTACATGCAGTTATAGACATATTCTAATACTCCCCCATAACTGCCTACAGCAGGAGTTTGTGCACCAACACATCCTGGATGGGTACACCACGAACAGAGAAAATAGCATCAGCAAGCAAGAGCAGTGGCAGCCTGTGCAGTGATAGCAGATTCAGCTACACCAACCCCTCAGCCAAGGTAGAAGCAACAGACAAAGATGTATGTGGCGGCAGGTTCCCTGGAGAGCGGGTGCGTGCGGCGGCACAGCAGGGCTCAACGGCAGCACCTGCTGACAAAGTTTGAAGAAAGAAAGAGGAATGAACTAGCAGGAATGAGGATACAAATAGCAAAACCCTAGAAGGGTTGTACTCGCTATAGAGCACCCCACTACAGGCTAGAACATAAGATAATATTCTGACACCTGCCACTCAACAGCAGAAGACAATAGAAGAAACAGGAGGTGGAGGCAGGGGCGGCAGCATGAGGTGCCACAGTAGCAGCGGGCGGCAGCTGCAGATGCCTAGCTGACTTCCGCTACCGTCTCACCCTCCCCCCTCATGGCAGCATGCGCGGCAGTGAGAGCGAGACAAGGAGGGGCGGCTGCTGGCTCGGCAAAATCTCTCTCTCCACTCCCTCACACTCTCCCCCTTTTCCCTCACCCTCCCCTCGCAACCTCTTCCCCCCCTTACAATGGACCCCGCTGAAGGGAGGGGAAGGACAGGCTGCAGGCAACTCAAGGGAAGGGGGGGGCGGCGTTAGCTGCTGCTGGCGCTGGCGTCGTCGCTGGGGCTCGCGCAGGTGCTGGCGATGGGCGCTGGTGTTGCCGCATACGACCGTGCACGGGTGCGCACGGTCGTACGCGGTCGCGCGCAGCAATGCGCGGCCGTACGCAGCTGCGCGCGGCTGCTGCTGTGTTCGTGACAGAACGGGGCGGGGCAGGTGATGCGCGCGACGAGCAGGGCGCAACGGGCGCGACGGGGAGGGCGCCACGGACGGGACGAGCAGGGCGCAGGAAGCGCGGACGCCCAGGGCGCTGACGGGGGGCCGAAACGAGGCCGCATCTGACGCCGTCGCGCAGCTCGCTGCCGAGACCGTTTCGACGGTCGCAACCGTTGCAACCGTCATAACTACGGCCGCGACAGGGGGCATGACGAGCGCCATGAGTGGGGGGATACGTGGTGGGCCCATGGGGGAAAAAAAAGTAGGTCTTAGAACGACCTAGCTCTTAATACCATGTCAAGATAGTAAGAGCAGTGAATACTAGGGTTTGGGGTAGGAAGAGGCTTGGGAGAGGAACATGTCGAGAGAGTTTAGCCAAAGAGGATGAATTCACTATTGAGCGAGGTACAAATAGCATGCACCACCAGTAGTTTATAATAACTACACTAAACTACAGCTACAGGCTGTTACAGGTATATTCTAACAGCTAAGAGTGCCATGTCAAGAGCGGAAGGGTAAGAGAGCCAGGCTAGAAACAACGGACCAAGGACGGATGGCTAGGTATGGTGTAGAAACCTAAGAACAACTTCATGAATAGGAAGCTAGGAACCGTCGGCTAAGGGCTGGTTTGAAACCCTGAAACGACGCCAATAAGGGGAAGTGCGACTTCCGGCTGCTACTAGAAGAGTCAATGGCAAAAGGAACGGTGATGAAAAACAAGCTGGCGTTGCGGGCATGTGGTGGTGGTCTGTAATGGCGTTGCTGGCGCTACTAGTGAGCGTGCTGTTGGCGGCTGGCTGCTAGTGGCTGGCACTGCTAGTGCTGCGACTGCTAGCGCTGCTGGCGCCTACGCGCAAGGCAGTCGTGTGCTGCTGTGTGCGTGCTGCCAGCGGCGCGTAGCGTTCACGCTAGTGTGTGCTCACGGCTGCTGCTGCGCCGCGTAAATGCTGGTGCATGCGATTGGTTGATGCGTGCGCGCTGTTGTCGTTGCGTGCACGGTTGCTGCTCGCGGTTATGGCACGCTCGCGCTTG